GACATCTTCAAAACAAAAAGAAGAAGTAGATAAAAGTATATAAGGACAATCTAACATACCAATTACAATCGAAATCGATTATGGCAGCTTTTAACTTAAAACGATTTAAGAAATAAAAAGAACTAAAGAATCATCACGGGCAGCCCTAAATTATCGCCTTACAAAAACTAGAACTTACTCTCAAGGAAATTGCAGCTTTTGTAGGGAAGAGAAAAAGACCCAAAAAAAAAAAGATTGGTGGGAAATTGCCCATATAAAACAACGGGGCAATTATAAAACAACGGATGAATAAATAAAACTTTCTAAAACAGGTTTATAACAATGAATTAATCGAGTAACTTGGACTTTTAAGAACACTTTAGATCCATCTAGGGGACACAATTAATCTCCAGGGCTTAGTGTAAGATCCTACAACTTAATACGCTTGGGATCCATAAAGGGGGCACAATAGATCTCCAGGGCTTAGTGTAAGATTCTACAACTTATTAATAACACACAAATGTTTCTTCTACAAGTCTAAAGTAGTTTTATTGCTTTATAGGTCTCTATGACGCATAGTGTAAAATTCCCCAATTATAGAATAAAAACTTCCAAGCAGCTATTCAAAAGGAGGTCTTGCAACTATATGATTTCTACACTTGTTCCTGATATTAAACGTAATTATCTGTTAACTATTCAAGAAGCTTTTTAATTGCAAATAAGTAAACATTTTCACACTTGAAAATTGTAATAAACTTTAAGTTGATTTGCAATTTCCGCACAATTCTCAATTCGCAGCTACGAAGTTAAATTTTTTGTATTAAAAATCTATTACCACTTATAATTCAGAAAATTGAAATTTCTGTACATTAGCCGTGTTGATGTTGATGTTTGGAACATCTTTGGCAACCGCATTTATGCTGGCAATATTGTACATGCCTCAAGGTGTTTGCCTTAGAGAAACTCATTATGAATTCTTGCAATGATTTGCAACTTGAATGCAAATCAGTTGCACCAAAAGATTTAAATAGAATTTTCCAATTTCATGAGGTGGCAAAGAAAATTCGTATTTTCTACTTATGAGCTACTTTCTCTTCCTTTCGCTTCTCACGGTTTCATTTCCTTTTACGTTTTTGCATTCATTTTTCTTATATATAGAATTTTGATTTGAAAAGGCGCAAGGCGCATAATTCTGGTGGGCCTGACGTCAGCTGTTTTCTATCAAGATTCCCACTTTACTTTTAAAATGTTGCTTTCGAAGGCGGAATTAGCTGTGGTTTCTTTGTCTCGTTTATTTCTTTTAGGCAGGGAAATTTACATAAAACACGGAAAAGTTGTTGCTTTCTTGATGTATTCAATGAAATAGCAAAAATGAGATATTTAAGAGAATTTAAAATAATTCTATTTTTAGCAATTTAGCTTTAGATTTAGCTCATTTAGCGAAGTTATGCAAATAATATTGAAAGTACTTCATCAAATACTTAAAGTATCTTTAATGATATATTCGCAAACTATATATATTTAAGTTATTTCTAACAAATATTGTTCTAAGTGTACTTTTGCAAAAATACTTAAATTAATTTAATTTTAACGTCATTTATGATGGCAGTGACTATTTTACTCTATTTAAACTATTGTAGGGAGGTTTTGTACAGTACAGAATTGCAACAACAAAAATTTTTATTTATTTTTAATGGTCAATCAAGAATTCGACTAATTAAAAATAAATAATAGTTTTTGTTGTTGCAATTCACTACTGTTCGTAATCTCTAAAAAAATATTTAGTAGTCTTTATTTAATTAATAATAAAATAATTAGTTTATTATTTAGTTATAATTTATTTCAATTAAAGAAAAGGTCATTTTAATCATGCTATGAAATTTATTTGGTTTTAAGGCATTTGCATCTTTAAGTAAGAAAGTATAAGGTTAAAACTTCAGCAAATTTTATACAAACCGATTTCCTAGTACCGATATTATTCGCTACTTCCTAAGAAGAATATGAAGAGAACAAAAAATAGCAATACCTCGCAAAATAAGAAGCACAACGTTAAGTTATTGAATCTGGGTCATTCCACAGTACTGCGAGCTTGAAGCTTCGACAGAGTCTATTTAAACTACCAAAAGAGCTGAGGCTATTGGCAATGTATATGGTGCATAACGCCAGGTGGAAAATTAAGCTCAACCTCGACGAGATCTCTGTTATAGCCTTTCTAGGCCAGCAGCGAGATCGCTGCAAAATCTTTGCTACCTCTAACATTAAGCTAGTGCTCAACCGTTCTTTCATTCAGCTTGTTCGTAAGCTGAAATATCTTGGCATTTTTTTTTGTCTTTTCTTTATAACATAATTTGATCCCTCATGTTGATTACGCCATCCGTAACGCCTGATTGAGGCACATTCAACTCAAAAATGCTCTTCAAAGGCACAACCAGTTTAGTTGCAAAGTTAAGCTCTCTGCTATAAACAACTTATTCGCCTTCTACTCGCCTACGCATTTTCCATTTTCCATTTTCCATCTGCAATCTCTTCCGCAATCTCTTCCAAATTGAAAGAATCCGCCTATTTAAACGGAAACATCTTCGGGGTTGCAACAACTTCAACCGCAAGCCTGAAGGCAAGTACTACCCTATGTCTGTTTTTTATGACAATGCTAAGATCATTCGTGTTGACGAAAAGAAATTCAAAGTTTATCGTTAGTCTCATCCGTGCGCATGCGCCTTAAATCCACCCCTTCACCATCATCCTATTGCCCTAATTTTATGCTCCTGCTTTATGGCTTAGATGAACTTAGCTCGCTAGGTATTGAGCCTATATGTTCACATCCTTCTCCCCTGATTACTGGAATGAAGTTTTCTCAGTGCTGTGGAAATTTTCTCCATTCATTCTTGAGAGACGGTTTTAGTGGGTTCAAGTCTCACACTGTGGCTTTCGATGCTTTCCATCTAACTTTCCAACTAACAAAAAAAAAGGTAGTACCATGTTAACGTACCTCACCGGAAGTTGGTATTTCCATCTTATATAACAAAATTTTCAAGAAAATTGTGGTAAACATTTCTGATTTCTATTTATTAAACCGCGTGTCTGCGGTACACCCTGTATGTGTTTATATAATTGAAAACACATGTTACAGAAATATTAAAAAAATATATACGCAGTAAAACTCAAAAAATCTCAACTCTTATAAATTTTTTATGATATTTTTCACACTTTTTAATGTTTTTTTTCTACCTTTTTTCAATTAAAATTTGCGCATAACTCTGGGTTGTTGACTTAATCTGTCCGTTTCATATTATTAATATTTAATATAAGCGCGAAATATATTTACCTCAAAATTCAATTAAAATTCACTTTACGGGCTTGAAAATATTACAAAAAAAAAAAAAAATTGAAGGAATGGGAATAAATGATAAAGCAATGCAAAAAGATGCATAATTTAAAAATCATAAAAATTTTGTTAAGCATTTAATCGAGTATTTTATTAATAAAAAATAATGAAAAGTGTCATGGCCAAGTCATTTATTTCGGGGCAAGAGTCATTATCGTCATTTATAAAGTCAAACATTACCATAATTCGCAGCACATCTCAATTTCAACAATAAAACGCTTCGTTGGATTTTATTTTAATATTGCCGCCAGCGGGAAATTGCCCAAAAATATAAAAAAAATTTAATAACAAAGAAAAATATTGTATGGAAAAACTCGGAAAACTCATTCGAAACCAATCAATGTTGTTTTTTCGATTTTTTTTTCACTTTAGCATTTTTTGTTTTTATTTGTCAAACACTTTCGGAGTGGATTTCATTTTATGGATTTTTTGATTAGCATGCAATGGTTTTCAAATATTCGCACGCAACGGATCGCCTAACGATGAAGCGTTAATCTAATTTTTATACATTTTTCAATAAGGTTAAAATTTTGATGGAGTGAAACTGTTAAATCATTCATTAATGCAATTTAGCCCATGCCTTCCGCCTTCCTTCGCTGCATGGAATATCTCCATGAGTGCCTCAACGGTTAGCAAATATTTTCGTGCCTATGGAAATTAAAGTGTTAATTATTGACATTTGTTTTGGGTTTTATGTGGCACGTGAAGGATACACTTATCCATTTTGATTGCTTCAATTATGATTAAATTTTTTTCCATTTACCAATTGAAGTGGTCAATATTTGTTATAGATTTTAACTGAAATTAGATATGATATGGCACAATATATATGGAAATTTTAATAGGAAAATTCGTTATTGGATAAATTCAGTTAGCAAAAATAAATTCATTTTTTTCAAAAATGTATTATTTTTTAGTTTTGATAATAGATAAAATGAGAAAATTAAAAATTTGTAATAAATAAATTAGTTTCTTAATTAAAAATGGACATTGAAAATAGAAATAGACATAATAGAAATTCAAATAGACACAATACAAATTATTCGAACTAAATTAAAAAAGATTAAAATGGATGAAACCCGAAAAAATTATTATTAAATGTTAAATATACTTTTATTCTTTTTATTTGGACTCTTAAAACAGAAATTTTAGAGAATAATAAAAAAATTGCACTTTCAATAAAAGGTTTCAATGAATTTCTAACCATCGACAAAGAGTTATCTATTTCTTAGTCCCCACTTCTAAGTAAGGACTTGCATTGATATGTGTCAAACAAAACTGTCATTCAAAACATATTATCTTTAGTTTAAGGTATGCCATAGTATCTCTTGTAATACCTCTTGTACCTTTTGTAATGTATGTCTACCAGTTCTTGAAGAAATGACACCAGAAGACCTGATGACCTGTCCAGGTCTGGCCAGACTTACGTTTAAGTTTCTAGGGGCCCCCTTCTTTAACTCACTTAGCGATATCTCCAGCATTAGCATTAGCCAGATTCTTGCCTTTGTTAATGCTTTTAGTTTGACCCTCTATCTACTACCCATTATCATGAGGTTTTTTGTGGATTCAAAATGGCTTTTTCTTTAGCTAATTGAGGAGGACTCGTCCTTCTTCCACCACAACTAACTAACTAACTATGCCATATTACAGTTTCAATCGTTTAACAGCCGTTGAAAGTATTAAAATCGTAAAAACTGATTACAATAGTATAAGTAAAACTCTGAAAAAATTTTAAAGAATTGTGTTTGTAACAGATTTGCCAAGACCTAGGCATGACTGTAACGTACGCCCCACGGTAAGTGCTTTGGTTAGTGTCACTATTAAATAATAAGTGACATAAAAACCTGGAACTTGAGCATTGAAAGTTTGTGCAGCCTTGGCTTCTTGTGGATAAACACGATTAGTCATCGCTTCTAATTTGACAGGCACGAGTTCTAAGCCTGGCACTTGCAGTCCAACAAATTATATACGGACTATAAACTAATTAAATAAAATTTGATTATTTCCAAAGACCACTGATGAAGAGTACTTGGCAATACCCGAAACAGCGTTGTATGGTCAGCCAAATTTCAATAAATTAAATAAAAAATTTTTGTCTTTGCCTTTCTTTGCTATTCGAATCGGTCTAACTTTTAAATAGTTTCTTTCGTCATAAAAAGACACGCCA